TTTCGACTCTTTTACTAACAGCACAAATATTTTTGGTCGAGCGCGTTTCGATAATATGTCTAGCTTTACAAATCTGGTGCAGGTCCAACTCTCTCAAATTTCTTCACAGTTTTGCCTACAATGCGACTTTAACATCGAAGATGATCTACTCACAATGCAGAAAACGTACCTGCTACAGAATGAGCATTTTTGTATAAAGTTTTTACTAGCTGGGGATATTAAACGATCCATATTGTATAATAACAAACATTAAAGGAAACATGTGATGCTCTGGATGGCACGACCCACGAGATAGATAACCCTATAAATTTTGAAAATTCATCTCCATATTCAAAATGAAAAGTTAAAATTTTTTAAAACGATTCATTGTACTATTTAATTACATATTTTGTTTGGAAAATATTTTCTTGCCATTTCGCAAAGCTTTGAAAAAACAGATTGTTGTGTCTGTTAAAAAATTTCCAAGCATTTTGTTTTGGTGTTTTTCCTGCTGCCCCTATTTATCACACATAAAAAGGGTTTACCTGTATTAGGAAAAAATTGTGTATGGATTTAGTGAACCTTTTGGTTATCCGCGTAGTGGAAGATTAAGGTATCAGATAGATCTTTTATATGTTCGCTCACTTCACAATCTTTTGAAAATTCAAAGAATACGTATTTCAGTCATCAACACAATCAATATGAATACTTCTTGCCTAAAATTTAATTGGAATGGATTTCATCACAATATTTTCCAATTCTTACAAAAAATATTCTGTGAAAATTTATACATGTAAAAACAATTCGCTTTAAGCCGGTGGTCCTCTTTCTCTTGAAGTATACTGTTGTAGCATAATATAAACTAACTAAAATTGAAACGGATTTTTTACTTGTAGATCACATTATAAAAATTGTCACTGTTAAGTGAAGATAGTCAAGAAAGATAGACCACATTTTTCTAGGTTTGTCTCTTTACTAAAAGTACCTATGCTAAGTTATGACCCAACGCAAAGTAAAAAAAAAATTAAATAAGTATTAAAATATTAAACTCAAACAGCAGTAACAAGCGTACTCGTTTAGAACTAAGTCTTTAGAATTGACCCAAAAATCAAAAAACAAAATTGTTCGCGCGTTCAATATTTGTACTATGTAACTACATATATTCGAGAGGCTATATATTAGGGAATATAATAATGAAATTAGGTTTTTCTGCTAGACTTCAGCGTCCTTTAAAGTATACCAAAAGTCTGGAGTTCTATAAAAGTGTTTATAACTAAACTTTTTTAAAAAGTAGTACCATTGCAGCCAATTAATACTACTATTTTCTTATGTTAGCGCGTTTTCGCCTCCACTAGATCCATTTTTAAAGCTCAAAAGCTTTGCAAGGACCAGCAATGCTTCCTTAGAGCGAAATCATTTTAAAACATTTCAATTTCTGAATTTAAACGAGAAGATCTTTAATTCAACATTACCCGTCGTAATCCAAAACTCGCATTTTCTTATAATGAACCGGTATGTAATATCCTTCGCCCTTTGAGGCTATTAAGATTGATTCATGTTTTGTTACCATGTAATTGATGATATGTTTCCCAATGCTGTTGGCACTGACCTGACTTTACGGCCAACATACGCACAGCGAACCAAGTCTCTATACATAAATTCTCGTAAAGCGCATAAAAAAGATTTGCACAAAACAAATCGCGCAAACAAAGCACAAATAAAAGTCATATAAAAAGCCGCACAAACACAACTTCTACTTAAATACTTTCCTATTAAATAATGATATAGAGAGGTGTTAAATATGTAGGAGAGTTCAATTACTTATCATCTATTAATTTGCTGCTGTCATTATTAGTATTATTATTGAAATAGATATTATTAATTTATACATAAGCAACAAGATAAGTAACTTCAAGTCTTTTTGTATATCGTAAATGGCCGACTTGAATTATCCTAATAAATAACTAACTAAATAATATTTATGTAACTTTTCGCAAATTATGTATACATATATATATGTATACGTTACGGTAAAGAGTAACAATACGTTTCTTTTGCATTTTTTATGACATAAAATATTATAATGCTTTCGTCTATGTTCGTATTCTCTATTTTTGGATAGTTTTTCTCTCTCATCTTTTTTTTTTACTTTTCCAATATTGTCGAATTATCAATTATCTTACCGCAGGCGCGAATAAAGACAGCTCACCTTTTAGCAAAAACGTCATATCCAAACAAGGCCAACTATTTAATACCCTACACCGCTACGCCTAATACAGTTATTCGCTCATTATTATAACAATACACCAAACCTTACACATCATGTTTATGCAAACGCATACTTTTCATAAAAGCCCACGTTTTAAAGAAATCCTTTTAAGTGGTGCTATCCAAAAGGAAACTTACTTGTTTCAAATTCAGTAAGATTTATTTCTACGTTCACTTACTACTATCAACTAATTTTTACCATGAAATATTAACTATTATACTGTTTCATTATATAAAGATTTAGTTTTCGTAGAAACTGTTACATAAGAGGGGATGTAAAAAATTGCCTCAGCCGGTCCAAAGTTTTCACACCAATTTAGAACGCCGAAATACTATTACTTAGCCACTTTTGTTAAGAAATTAAAAAAATTTTTCTTTATATGGAGAATGGTCAAAGAAGTGGCACGATCCTAACCATTTCCAATAGCGGTCGTCTCTCTGTCAAAGCAAGGCATTGCATCGAATTTCGTCAAAGTATTTAAACAATGACGACATATAGCTTGAACACAAATTTACATGGACAGACGCCAAGCAGACAGAAGGACAGACAGGCTTAGATCACTTCAAATTATGATTCTGAATCGATCGCTATAATTAAAGGTGGGTCTATCTTAAGCCCTTCTACATGTTACATACGTCCGCACTAACTTAATGTGGCCTATGCCACAACTGGTGTAGGGTATAAAAATTAATGCATAATAGTACTTTGATATAAAAATTAACTATGCTGAATTTTAAATACGTACCACAATTTTTTAACTTCTCGGGCACAACCACTCTTAGGAAAAGCAACCCTTTATTTGCAAAGAGCTTTAGGTTTTAATATACAGTTCCATAATAGCAGCTATAATTTTTGTGTTCTATTCACATGTCTGCATGACAAAAACTTTTATTTTGAAAATGGAGAAAATCAGCTGCGCCCATATATATTACAGAGCATGAAAATTTTGTTCTTTTACTACTTTTGTCTTTTTTAATTTTCTTAGTTGTCTTCATTTCGTCTTCAATTGTTAGGCGCAACACTATTTTATGATAAGAAAAATTCTTTGCAATATGCTCATTAAATAGTTGCAAACTTACAAGTTTCTTAAATTCTTCAAATTTGATAGATGTTCACGTTACTCTAGCTTATTCAAAACAAAGGCCGATGGTTCGACTAAGCGCGGAGACCTGCAACTGCACTAAGCAGCTTAGTGAACTGAAACACGACTCAAAGTTTTTCTTCTATTCCAGTTTTTTCCAGAAAAATTATAGACAATGACCATAACGTATTTAAGACCAGTAATTTGATATCATTCGAATAATATTTTTCGGATACGCTATTTCTAAATAATTGAGTCGGAAGAGATTTAAACTACGTAAAACAACCAAGAGTTAGCACAGAGTCTACTTTAACCAGTTCGTACTGACTGAATTTCGGTAAATGACCTGCTCATCAGAAATTCTTTTATAGTTGCAAACATATCGAAACACTCACATCAAATAATTTAAATATCAGCCCGATGTATGCCACACACAAGCAAGGAAATGCCGAGCAAAACCAGACTGAACATTTATTTCCATCAACAAGCAATATTTAATCAAAAGGCGAAATTCTTTGTTATAAATTCTTGAAGTTCGGAGTATAAAATACTTTACATATTTGTGCACATATTTAATTTTAAGCCACTCCGGAATACAAGATAAATATTTTAGCATTTAAGCGATATACTTGTTCGCATGCTCACAAACATCGACGCACATTTATAAGCATATATGTATATAAAATTAATGATGCAATAATAGAAAATGATATTTCGCAAATTGATTAGTTTGTCACCATTAGCCTCTCTTGACACAGTAAACAGACCATAAAATTTGTTCGAAAATGCTTCAGAAACATGAAAATTAAATTCAAACGTCAAAGCCAACCCATATAGTGTGCGTGCACATAACCATTTTAGATATTCTTGAAGAATAAAGGCGCATAGTGGCACTATGCTGTACTCTTAATAAAATTTTCGACAGCATGGAATGACGTGTGTTGCCGACATGTTTATATATACATATATAAATGAATATATATACGTGGTCTATATGTGCATGGTTATAACAAACGAGCAAATATATGGGCGCAGTCTAGGTATTATATGCACACATCAGTTTGTACATATTAAGTTTACAAAAATTGACTTACTAAACCATCTATGCGTATGTACAAGTGTACCATACATGTCCATATAAAAGATCCAGTATAATGACCTAGTTCTACGAACGCTTGTACAGGCTATTCGCTCAGAGTTTCGTTGCATAATGAACCGCACTTTTAACCTATAGTATATATACACTAACTCAGCTGCACATAGATACACTGGCAAGATATAACATTTGTTTTGCAATTTTCAATGCTCCCGTTCATTGCACTGGTGTCGTGTCACTTTGTGGCGGTAGTATTCTCCATCGTCATAGTGTCGTCATTATTTCTGCTCACTATCAACATTATTATCCGCACAGATTCTACTTAATAAAGAATATAGGCAACACACGATTTGAAGCACGTTTAAACGACAAGAGGCCGGTACGTATCCAACTTTTGGAGAACACTTATCGTTGTACTTAATGTTGTGTACCACATACACGTCTTAAAGCACATATCGATTTCGCGGATAAGGACTAAGAGTAAATAATATGTCTGTTTAAAATTTATCATTATTTTAAACGCAAAAAAAACTATGAGAGTTGATAAACGAGTATCTTATATTATCTCTTTGTAGAATCGCAACATTTTCAGCATCAAATACAAAATAAAAGTCAACCCAATGGTGGTGTTTTAACTGGTTTGGGTACAGTATCTCATCATATAAGAGCGCCACGACCACCGGTTAGAAATGCTTCCTCCACATCAACGGGTTGTGGTTCGGGCGGTGGCGGTGGAGGCATTAATAGTGGCGTTAGCAATTTAATTGATCAAACGCCTTCAAATGGCAGCAGTAGCAGTGGTGTCAGCAGCACACCATCTTCGAAAGGTCACTCGCATCAGCATCTCGGCCATATGCATACACATGCTGGCAATAGTATGGACAGCATTGGTTTAACAACATCGGCGACAGCAGCAACATCATCTGCGACGACCGGTGGCATACATCTTCTGCAACAACAGGTGCCTCAAGCGGCCATTGATGAAATGCGCGTCTGATAGGTATCGGTGTTCGAACTAGATTTATAGTCGCCCAGGTGAGTACAAGAAAAAGCTGCTAGCGTTATAAAAAAATTTATATTCCCAAAAAAATGTTATTTCTTCGAATACGAAAAATTTTCGGCGAAGAGTTATTATACTAATTTTCCAAAAAGTATTTTCTTCAATAGCCGCAGGAGTGACTTAATATACATACTTTGTACAGATTTTTTGAAGAAATACTTTCAAATCAAAATGCAAAAATATCCATGAACAAAACTATAAAAATACTTCTAAAAAGAATTACCGATGATAATATTTGAACACTTTTTTTTTTAACCCTTAGATGTATGTTCTTGCCAATTGTCTACATTCCAGTTCCACGTAATTTTAGACTTAATTTAATAAAAAAAGGTTAATAAAAAAAATTTAGAATGAAATAAAATTGGCTACAATATGCATTTAACGGTTAAAAAAAAAAAACTGTGCAAATGTAACTACATAAACACACATGAGGTTTTAAACATACGATGTAGATCAATATCGCTATGCGTTTAAGCATTAAACATTCGGCAGGGTATGTAAGAATTTTTTTGATAAAAGGTCTTTAAAAGTCTTCAAATGATGTGCACACAATTCTGGGATATCTTTCTATCAAACATTTTTTTTTTAAATTTCAAAAGTTAATTAAAAACAAAATAGTCATACAAATATACTCCCGCGGAGCTGTTGAACGCGCCTAGCAAAGATGAAATTATACAAGGCCGAGTTAAATCTTTCATAATACCACTAGGACCGCCAACAATAATTAGTCAGAAAAAACTGCCTTGGAAAAGAGAACTGGTCATCAAGTCACAGGGGTAGCATTGCACCCAAAGTTTCGTCCAAACGGATCTAAAACCAAATTGGCTGGCTAAGATATGCGCGGCCGCCCTATTAGGACAACGACCTTTTCACCTCGCCAAGTCTTCATTTACCCAATCATCTGCTCGGCATTTTCACTTTTTTGACAATACAACAACGTACATTTCTCGGAGGAGTTTTCGTAAGGCTGGGTTGCTTCGTCCAACCAATTGTTCCATGCTATTGGAAAGGTCAAGATATCTTGAAATCCGATATATAGAGTAGATTGCTGCTTTAGAAAAACATATTCTGTATCAATTTTTTTTTTTTTTTGTATTCAAATGATTTTTTAAATTAAAATGGTTTCTCTTATTATTAATTAAAATAATAAGAAGCAAGCGTCGTCCCGTATAGGTGCACATAAATAAGTACATATGAAAAGTAATTTATTTTTTAATTCACATACATCCAATTAAAAATTAAAACTTCTACATAAAAAAAGAAAACAAACACCTCTACACAAAAAAAGAACTAAAACTGAGAATTAGATGCTTTTTCCCAATAAAAACTTGAAGAACACTTTAAAAACTCATAAATTGCAAGCATTTGCAGACTTAACCTGAGCCAAGCATACATGCGAGAGCAAATTGGTAAATGCACACATCAACCTACAGCAACACCAGCAGACAGACAGACATGCTTATAATAAAATGGAAATGTATGCATACATCCATTCAAACCTGGTCGCAAATGTTGTTAACAATTTATGGCAAGTAAAGGCCAAGGTAGATAGACTTAGATATCACCACGGATACGTATATACCGGCATAGCTCTGTATGCATATATATGTATATGTACATATTTTTATATAAATTTGTGCGCAAGCCTCCATAAACCGGTGTATCTGTGAAGGTGCGTACAGGTGAATTTGTATGTGTTTCGGTATTTATGTGTTGTAATTTCACAAAATCATTTCTGACATTAATTAAGTGCTTGGAAAATTTGTTTTCCTCTACAGAAACACTTGAAACGGTACTTGGAACAACATCACTAGGTTTTGCTCGTTTTTCAACATGTTTTCCTTTTATTTTTTTTTTTTTTATTTTTTATTTCTTTTGCACATTTATTTTCGTTCCCACATTCATTGTACATTTTGTATGCCGAAACTTAACCCAACAGTTTACTCTAAATTTAGTTTGAAGAAGTGCATGAGGTGAAGTTCCATGTCATTCATGTAAAGTGCCATATTTTAGAGGCCAAACCATAAGTACAACATAAACACAAAACAACACAATTCGGCACAACTGCAAGACAGCCAGTAAGCAAGCCAGAAAAACGGGCAGGCGAACAAATACTAAACCAGCTGTACATCCTTACACTCAAATCCTTAACACATGCAACACTGCAGTGTGAAATAGTAGTAGTAATGCACGTATAATACATATAGGTATATATATATGTGTATATATGTATGTATGTGAGTGTTGCATATTTATGCCTCCTTCGCTTAATGTATTTAGCAGCACAAGCCTAACCACTGAAAATGTAGTTTAGGTTTTGTTTTGTATGTCTTATCTCTTGCTATGTTTGCCGTTGTTTCTATTTTTGTTGTTGTTACTTTCAATTTTTTTTTTTGTTTTTCTTTCCGCTTATTTATTTGTAAGCATTAATCAAAAAAGGAGAAGACAAACTGTTTCTGTTATTGTTTTAGATTTTAATCTTTTCATTGTGTGTTCTTTTCATGTCATTTAATAATTTTAACATTTCAACCTAAACACAACGCAAAAACAAAATTCGCAGTTATTTAAATGTGGTAAGGTTTTTTAAAACGAGAGAAAGTGATGACCTTATCTAAACCCTGGAAGCTAAGATCCCATCTTAACAATTAACGCCATATTTGCTTGCTTAGTACTCTTTATATTAAATTAATCGAGAAACCGCATGAAAGATTTCGCTATTAATAGTTACAAAATGCACGCCAAAGTAACGGTATTCCAAATAAAGCACGGCTTAGCGCAAATCTTTTAATAGCCACACCTACATATGTCCAAAATATTTTAAGATATCTAGATAAATCTAATATAATGCATATGTATACATTATATATAAAACTATAGGGGTTTTCCCCAAGGAATGCTATTTAAACCTTGTGCAGTTTTTTTAATTCCCAACATACAACTGCCATTGTGTCAGATACATCCAAAGAAAAAAGAATTAATTAATTAATATCAATGTAGCAGCTTAAAAGAAGTAAGAATATATAGTCGGGCAAAGACAACTGTTAGATACCCCACACCGCCTTCGCCTAAAACAATTATTCCCTCGTTTTGGTAACAATACACTAAAAGATATTTTCATCCAAATACACACTTTTCATGAAAGCCCTCATATTGAAGAAATCTTTATGGTGGTATCCAAAAAAGTAGACATACGTGGTCCAAATTAGGTAAGATTGATTTCTAAGTCGATATACTGCTATGAACTAATATTTACCGTGAAATATTAAAAAATGCTTTTCACTAAAAAAAGAGTCAGATTTCGTAGCAAGGGGTGTATGAGATAGGGTTCAAAAAATTGTCCCAGACGAACCAAATTTTTCATATCAACTTAGAATATTACAGATCGAGTTTTGTTGAGAAATTTTGAACATTGCAATTTTTTCCATATAAGGACTCTTCAAAATAGGGCATTATAAGAGAATGAGTTGAAAAACTGAACCGATGTAACACATTTTCAATAGCATCCCTCCTCGGATTAAAGCACGTCAGTGTACCAAATTTCATCACAATATCTCTAAAATTGCCACGTTTAGCCTGAACTCAAGTTTACCTGGACAAGCATCAGACGGACAAGCAGACCGACAAGTGGGCTTGGATCGGTAGGTGAATCTGTCTTAAATAAATGAAGTTATTTTATGCGCTTATTTGGTTTGTTTATAAGCTTTAAAACTACTGCTTTTTGCGTTATTGGTGATTATTTGAATTAAAATGTTCAATTTTCTACAAAAGAAAACCGATCGTTTATTAATAACTAAAGATAAAATGAAGTTGCCAAAAATTACCTATGTTAGCTTATAATTTATTCAAAAGATATTGTCAAAAACTCGCCTAAAAGCATAAAAATTGTTTTATCTATGTTGCATATTCTTTTGGGAAATCTTGTTCCGAGAAAACAGGGAAGCTATTTAAAGTTTTGTGTGAAATGTTGTAATCATAAAAGAAATTAAAAATTTATCTATCAAAGATTGTTACGATTCATTTACACTCTCATAATGAGGATAAGTAAACGTGTGAAGTTCTATGGAATTGTTTTCATGCATAAATTATATGACCACGATTAAAATGTAAAAATTATTGCTTGGGTCTGTTTTGAAATATTTGAGAGTTGACAAGGCTATAGCTGCAGCACTGTGCTTCTCTAAACGAAATAACTTTTTTGTTTTGACATTTAAGAAACAAAAGATACGATGGAAATTGTGCTCACCAGAGATGTCCGAACGTTTTTCTTGTGGTAAGGCTTTCACCTTTGCCCCAACAGTTACGCCGTATTTGTTAATGGAGCTCAATAATTAGCGGGGCCCAACAGTTAATGAGCGCGAAATTAACGTTAAGTGTTGGCACTTTCGTAGAACAACAGATAGATTGTTATTCAGGCATTAATACAATAATTCAGCGATTATTGTTTGTATATATGTTTGGTTAGACCCATACTCGAGTATGCCTCTGTTGTGTGGTCTCCTTCATACAGGTGCTATGTAGTTTCAATTGAATCTGTTCAAAAGCAATTCTTCCTGTTTGCTCTTAGAAATTTGGGTTGGGATCCGATTGCCTCTCTTCCTCCCTATGAAAATAGGTTGCTTCTGCTGTCCTTACCGTCTCTTGAGAAACGTAGGTTTGTTCCTGGCGTTTCCTTTGTAATCAAAGTACTAAATGGTGCTATTGACTCGCCTTTATTACTTGGTGAAATAAGCTTTAATGTCCCCAACCGCTTCTCTAGGCACTTTATCTTGCTTAAGCTTAGTCAGTTTAAATATAATTATGAGCTGTTTAATCCGCTCAGAGTAGTTTGCAAGAACCTAAATGGCGTCTATCACTTATTCTCGTTATCGGACTCTTTAAAGTCCATTAAAGCAACATTGCTTAATACGCACGATTTACCTACGTTTTACTTAAACTAACTTTTATTCTTAAAAGTGGTTACGATTCGAAAATGAAT